CTGGGATTACAGGCTTATAGCACTGCTTCAATTGGACCCTCTGTGTGCCTATTGATACCACTTTCCAGTCTGAGTTAGAACCTGCTTGAGGTAGTTTTCTAACTGCTGTTCCTGCCCTTTGTCTCTTCAAGGTATAATTAATCACATGCCTTATTGTCCAAATTATTTTTTACAAATTATCGCCAGCTTTGTCCCAATAAAGGGCATGTATAGTGGGGAGGAGGGTTAGGAAAGGTTGAGCTCTAATTTTCCATGGGGTATTCAAATTACTTCGCCTAGCAAATTTCAGAGACTATAGGCATGGTGTCTCTGGGTTTGAGTTCATTACCCACTTGCCCTGATTAGTGCTCATTGTTTCCAGAAGGTAATGAACAGGCTTCCAGGTCTTCACTATTCCCCATTCCCCCATGTGTCTTGGCCTCTCAGACCAGCTCCTCTAGCTCAACATTTAATACTAGTTTCTTACCTTTTAATTAGTTGTCATCTCTTCTCAGATATTCTAGAAAATTCCTACCTCCCAAAATAGGCCTTTTTTTTTAAAACAAACAAACATGTTCTAGACTATATATATATATATATATATATATATATATATATATATATATATATATGTATGTACGTACGTACTTGGAATTGAACTCATGGTCACTTAACCACATTCCCATCACTTTTTTCTGTATTATCGAGACAGGCCCTCACCAAGTTTCTGAGGCTGGCTTTGATCCTCCTGCCTCAGTCTCCTGAGCTGTTGGGATTACAGGCATGAGCCACTGCGCCTGCGCTAAACAACATCTTGCTTTCCCTCACATTCTTTTTACTTTCTTAAGCCTAGGAGCTGTATACTTTTAACATTTTCATTTTGTAAAGATTTAATTAATTTTCCCAAAGCCAGCAAGTGGCAGAATGAACTACGAAAGCAGGCTTAACTAATTTGAGCTCCTTTCAGCAACTGCCTGACCGGCCTCTACAGTGGATGTGAAGTATATGGCAATATTACCTCTAGGGACTCTCAAAACCAGGCCTACACCTCAGGAAAAGCATGTCCTATAGAGAAGCTTCAACAAATATTGTGGGTAATACTCCCCTTCCACAGGAATTTCTCTTTGCTAGTAGTGATTTCATATAGTGCCTAGGGTTTGCATTACCTACTTTGGTACCTAATTATCTTGTTGCCATTGCCTTGTTGATAATTTTTCTTTCATTAGGTCCATCCTAGCCCCATTAGCTGATGTGGACATGGGACACATGGCCTTCACCACAGAATTCCCCCCATCTGCCAAAGAGAAAGTGATACTCAACTCAGACACTTTTGAGGTTTAAAAATGCATTTCTCTGGTTATTTGGGGTAGGATCCAGGAATTTGTATTAACACCCTGATCACCTTAAGGCTGTGATCAATGGGTACAAAATTCTTGCCAATAAGAATTTAAGAAATCTTGCCTCCTTTAGGCAGGATTACTTCCTGGTACAATGATTCTCTGAACATTGCACGCAGCTGAAAAACTGGGAACTGGGCCTCTTTTGTTTCTGGACACCTCACTTGACAGGTGTAACAACATCCTCAGACAGGCTTGCCACAGGTGCATGCAGGCCACGTGCAAGGTACAGTCTGCCTAGCTCTTCCTTTGACCCCCTTCCCCCAGCTGTCCAGCTGATAGACCCCTCTATCCCCACAACCACGACGCAGCTGTTGCCCTCCTCCCACCCATGCCCCTCCCCCAACCCTTCTCCACCCCCGGCTCCTCCCACCTCAGAATATTTTATTGTTCCTGGCTAAGTTTTTCATATGGGATGGGGGTAGAGGGGGCTGGTTAGATGGAGAGGATGCTCTCCATTCATCAGGTCCTACTGAATGGGCACTTTTTCCACCTCAGAAAACCTTATGTTTTCTATCAGGGAAATGGGCAGAGGCCACTCTCTGGAACTTAGTTGGAGGGATGTCATTCCGGAAAGAGCCCCTCCATCTCTGTAAATACCCAAAGCAGGCCCAGCCTGCTGTGCTCCTTTGTTGAGGCAGGGGGAATGGAATCTTACCGATAAGGTGAGAAGAGCGGGGCGGGCCCTCTGCCCTCCAAACACCTAATGCTAAAAGGGGAGGAAAAAAAGCACCAACAAAGAGTTTAAGATAGCAATTCCCAGCTTTTTCAAATATGAAGCATTTTTTAACCAATCCTTTTTAATTCTTAAATTCTTGACATTACAGAACTAAACTGAAATTTATTAACATTCCACTCTTACATTTCTTATCGACAAACAGAAATAAAATCCATGAGCCAAAAAACCCAAAACAAAACTAAAAACAGGGAAAAGCTTATAAAACTAAATATGGATTCCAGCATTAACAGCTGAACAGAGAATGTGATTTTTAAATTCTTAGCGGATGATAAAGTGTAGAAACTGAACACTTACAAATTATTTAAAACCTGGAATCACTGACCAGAAATTACACAGTTGGATCATGGGAAAACAGCAGAAGGGGGTTATGAGTGATCCTACACTGTTCTAGCTGCAACCCATGCCCTTCTCAGAGGAAAGCCTGGCATTGATTAGATATTGGGCCAGACTAATACTGGCAGCAGAGCCAGTGATAGTAACCTGCCTACCAGAAGAGCCTTCCACTGGGTTGGCAATTTTGATCTGGGCCCCGGACATCTGGCGGATCTCATTGATGTTGGCGCCTTGGCGCCCGATTATGCAGCCAATTAAGTTATTTGGAATGGTGAGTTCATGGGTGGTTTGAGTAGATGCATCCAAACTTGCCCAATAGCCTTTCACCTCTGGAGAGCTGGAGTCAATTCCGGCGAATCCGGTCCCGCCGTGCATCATGGCAAAGTGAGACTGTTGTCTTGCCACCTGGTTCAGCTTGGCCAGATCGAGCGGAGAAATGGTGTGTTGTCCTTGAATCGAGTAGGCATCTAGAGGTGGTCCCTCCAGGTCATGGGTGGCGTGAGGGTAGCCCGCAGCGTCGCTGCACCGATCTTGGCCGCCAGCGCAGATAACCGGAGAGCTGGCCGGCATGGGCTGGTACGGAATGGTCATGACTCTCCCTTGCGGAGACTGGGAGAGCGTCTCCAGCATGACCAGGCAGATCTGCTTGACACACTCGGTGACAGACTGCGGCACGCCAGCGATAGTGATTGCCCGCTCGGTGGAGTTGGGCAGCATATCCCCCGCCACCTGGACCTGGGCCCCGGTACTCTCGCGGATCTCTTTGATCTTACAGCCGCCTTTCCCAATCAGGGAGCCGCACTGGGTGGCCGGCACCACCAGCCTCAGGGTGACCGGGGGCCTGCTAGCCGCCGTGCTGTTGGTCATGGAGCTGTTGATATCTTCCTCCAGCTTGTCGATGATCATTGCGAAGGCCTTAAAGATGGCATTGGTGGGGCCGGTCAGAGTGATGATTCTCTCCGGACAATTCCCCTCCGAGATGTTGATCCGCGCGCCACTCTCCTCGCGGATCCTCTTAACCGACTCCCCTTTCTTCCCAATGATGCTTCCTACTTCCTTTCCGTGCATAAGAAGCCGAATGGTGAGAGTCACATTTAGTCCACTTTCAGTCACACCGGCATCCATGGCGAGCGGCGGGCGGCGTTCGGGGGAGTTGGGCTCGTTACGTGGTCAAGTCTTTGGTGGCTGGCGGGGGGAGGGGAGGTGTAGGCCCAAAACTGCCGGCGCGAGGCGAGCGAGGGCCGCGGGAGCGAGCAGGAGCGGGCGGGAGGCCGCGGCGTCGTCGCAGGGGCGGGCGGCGGCGGCGGAGGGGGCGAGCGGGGCCGGGAGCGGCGGGCGGGCGGGTGGGCGAGGGCGCGGCGGTGGCGACTCCGGCGGCAGCCTCGGCGGTCTGGGCGGGGCGGGAAGCCCGCTTTCAACCCCGCGTACCCTCTGACCCCGGAAGTGCTTGCTGCGCAGGACCCCTTGAAAAAAATGAGGACCCGTTTTTTTAGGTCACAAGATTGCGCCAACCTCCACGCGGTACTTAAAAAAAAAAATCCTTTCAATACCGGAGTAGTGAAAATAATGCATTTGATGGGCGGAAGGTGTGGGTCCGGCAGGGCTTTACAGTGAACACGTGTTTTATTAACTCCAACAGCACTGGCAGGTGGCTGAAAATATTAATGTTGTTTTGGGGAGACACATATAATTTTCCTGATATACCAAAGGGATTTATGCGCAGAGTGACAAGGGCAGCCCTGGCGATCAGTGCAGGCGGCAGCTGGGACGCCGCGGGTTTAAAACGTGCGCGTGAGGTAACCAGACCGCATGCGCGAGGGTGTGGGGAGGACGGGAGGGGCAGCCGCCGTCTTCCGGGGGGGAGGGGCGGCGAGGTGCGGCCTGTGGGGCGGGTGCGCGCGCCAGCGGGCACGTGGGGCCCTTTCGTCCCCGGCGTCCGGGCGCCCTGCGCCAGCCCCCACTCCTGCCCCGGCCCCACGGAGGTGGCTGGTGAGCAGAAAGATCCAAACCCGAGCCCCTACCGCGGGCCGGCGCAGTCGCGCCTTTGTGTTTGTGAAGTGCTCGTAACAGCCATGAAAAGAATGGCGTCCATTTACATAATGCTTTGTTTGCATCTTGCTGGTTTCTTTCTGTTGAAACCCAACCTAGCAATTCGGTCCTTTCTACCGTGGCAGTCTCTTGTCTGCTACTTGAAACAATAGTGTGCGTCTCTAGAGGCCTTATTTAAATTCGAGCGGTGCCGACCAGAGTTGGAGGTTTCTGCGGCATTTCCCGCGCGGCCTCTCCGGTTCTGGCTTTTCGGCCCTCTTCTCTCACAGCGCAGCCGCAGCGCCCCACTCTCCGGCGGCCCCTGGTGACGCCCGCCATCTTGGGAGGCCTTTTCTGCCTAGTTCATCTCGCTAGAAAATGTCGCTGAGATGCCGGCACATGAGTTGTGATTTCTGCCCCTTCCCTTTCCTCCTTGAGCTAAGCCAGACTCCAGAATGTCAAGTGAGCAAAGCATACTTAGTCCCTCAGTGAAAGCGGGCTAACGTGGCGCTCCCCATCGCCACCCCCCCCCCCCGTCGCCATGTTTCCTGAACACAAAATGGCGACACGTGGCCTGGATTCGTCGCTCAGGAGAAATTGGGGTCGCCCGAAAGCTCTAGAACGCGCCGTCTCCTGTTCACTGGGACTTCCCTGCGACGGGAGTCCTTAAGATCCCTCCTGTAGGCTGGTCCGAAACGTGGCGGAAGAAGTTTAATCCTCCCTCCTTTAATTTGAAAGGAGAATGTGAATAATAGTAAAATGTAGGCACGGTGTCGATCATCTCGGCCTTTTTTTTTTTTTTTTTTTTTAGATTTTCATAATGTATGGGCAGTACCATGGGGAAATTTCAGGTGTCTCCCCGCCCCTGTACCAAAATACTTAGAAACCACTGCTTTAAGGAATGAGATGGGAAAATACTGCTTTCCCAGATCTCCTAGTACACGGTGTTGTGCTGGGAAGACCAAAATATGATTTTTAAAATAATACAAATATGTAGACATACTCTGTAGGCATTTTCACAGGCAGTTAGTTGGTCAGTGACCCACAGCTTATTATAATTTGTATTGTCTTTTATGGCCTAGAAGGGACAGATCTTATGGTAGGCATTTTATTGCATACTATCTTAATTTTTACCACGCTCTACGAGGTAGTTATCCCCTTCTCTTTCTCTCTCTTTTTTAAGCAGAGGAAGACACTTAAGCCCAGAGAAATGAAGTGAGCCATTCAAAGTCATACGTTGTCGGGGATGGAATCCAGACCTTCTGATTTCTTTACTGGTGAGCACATTTTCCAGTTTTTCTATAAATCAAGGTTTTTGAATTAAATTCTTTCTTTCTTTTTTTTTTTTTTTGTAGCAAAAAAGCTACCAAAGGTGCTTAACCATTGAGCCACATTCCTAGCCGTCACCCTTTTTATTTTTTTTTATTTTAAAACAGTGTTGCTTACAGCTTCGCTAAATTTCTGAGGCTGGTTTTGAACCTGTGATCCTCCTGCCTCAGCCTCCCGATCTGCTTAGAATTTAAATTGTTTTTAACGTGTAAATGTGCTGACTTTGAAGGTTACCTTTAGGTAATCCTTTGTTGTGTAGTCAGCCCATTTGTATCTCCTTGGGGATTTCCATTTTCTCCTGATGTGAGTGACACACACATTTGAGCCCTGTCTGGGCTTAAATGCTGTTCTGTGAGGTAACTGGATAAGGAGAGAGAGATGGAAGTGATTCAGACCTTCTCCAAGGCCCACGTGTCTTAGTCTGGCCTCCTCAGTGGCACATTTGAGTTACCTGGCTCTAGGGGAGTGAACAATTCTTTGAGAGACTCACTTGCTTCCTTCAGCTACTTGTGCTTGACTCCTTCTTCACTACCCCTTATCCCCAGCTCTGTAAAAATGAGTTATTTTACTCTGGCACCAAGCCTCCATTATTCTACAAATATTGACAAATCCTGACATAATGTTAGATAAATCATAGTCTGTGGACACACACATGGTTAGGGGGTCCAGGTAACAAAAACATGCCTAAACAAGGACTACATGGCTGTTATAGATGGAGAGGGATTTTTGCTTTTAACTTACATTAACGTGTGTATCAAATTTTCCAAAAGTCTTCATATTGTTTTATATAACTCTGCAAATAACTTTGATAGGTACATACCTAGGATATAACTAAGTACTTAGTGCTATTATTATTACAGTAATAATAATAGCACTAAGTACTTAGTTATATGCTAGGCCCTGTTCTAAGCCTATTCTATGCTTTAACTCAGTGGCTCTTAACATTATTAAAAGTAAAATATTAGAAGAAATCGATTTTACATTGTAATTCAGATGTACACACATATATCACATATCGGTTCTTTTTTTTTTTTTAATTGGGAATTAAATGAGGATGCTTTACCATTGAGCAACATCACCTTTTATTTATTTATTTATTTTTAATTTTGAGACAGGGTTTCACTAAATTACTAAGTTGCTGAGGTTGGCTTTGAACTTGGAATCCTGCTTCAGCCATCCTAGTTGCTGGGATGATAGGTGTGTGCCACTGTACCCATTTTATATAACAGATTTTTTTGCAAAACACTACTTATTACTACATGCAATGTATTCTGGTTCCAGTTTCTGTTCATTTATTTATATTCAAACATAAAAGGGGTTGTTATAACTAAAATGATTCAAAACCCATTAGTAGGTTGTGACTGGAATACACATTTAATCCTTATATAAGCTCATGAAATGGATGGTGATATTATTTCCATTTTACAGAGGTACTGAGAGGTGAAGGAGTTTGTCCAAGTTCAGATAAAGTAGTAAAGTATGGATATGAATGTAGGCAATCTGAGTCCACAGATGGTATACTTAACCATAAGATAGATGTGGTCTCTGTGGAGTTCTTTGTAGGGAGACAAAGTAGATTAAAGAATTAAAAATACTAGTAATGGCTTGGCATGGTGTACACACCTATAATCCTAGCCACTTGGGAGACTGAGGCAGGAGGATTGCAAATTTAAGGCCAGCCTCAGCAATTTAAGGCACTAAGCAATTTAGCAATATCCTGACTCAGAAAATAAAAGGGCTGGGGATGTGGCTTAAGTGGTTAAGCACCCCTGGATTCAATTCCTAATTAAAAAAAAAAAAAAAAGATACTAGTAATGGTTCAAATCCGGGTGCGCTCTCCAAATACAACAACAAAAAATATTAGAAAACAGGAGACGAAAGGACTAAATTGCATATGGTCATGGAGTATCCTGATTGAATGCATTATGGTCCTCCAAATTTACTTTTTTTATCTTCCCTAAAGAAATTTTTACCCATCAGGTAAAAAAAAAATTTTTTTTCCCCAAGATTGCCTGTTTTAATTCTTTTCTGCCTGAAATATTTCCTTGATTTCTTCTTATCTGAGTACCTCTAGGACTAATTGTACTCCTCAGTGAAGTATTTCCTTTCTCATCTTCCTTAGCTCTTAACCTCCCCGAGAATCCTATATCCCACCTTCAGTGGCCCACATTTTACTGTTGATGAAATCCTAGAGTGATGTGTCCTGTAGGCTCTCCAGGTGCCCTGGAGATGCTGTAATTTGTCAAAGTGGGCTCTGGATTTTGGAATCCAAGGCTCTATGCCCTAGCCCCATTCTGTGACTGACTAGCTGTGAGACTTCTACAATTTATATATCTGGGTCTCAGTTTTTTCCACTGTAAAACAAAAAATTAAATGATCACTAAGCCATTTTTAAATTCTATTCTGGGAGTGATACTATTTAATGACCTTATTATCTCTGAGTGGTGGTGGGTAGGGTTGTGTAAATGTTTTACTCACTTTTGGAAAATTCTGTACTCCCTTACTCAGATCTGGATTAACTTTTGAATTCCACATTACCCATTTTATGGATGAAGCTCCTGAGATATGGAACAATGGATTGAATAGTCACCGCCCCAACCCTGGAATCTCACATAGGACTCTTCTCACTCAAATGACCACAGGTTGGTTAAGGGGTTTAATATGACTGGGAAGGTGAGCCAGGTTTAGACTTTGGAAGTTGAACCACAGGATTTATCTTCCATTCAGAGAAACAATTTTTACTTCCTCTTACATTATGTTGGCATGTTATATACATAAAACTTTAAAAAATGATTTTATATTACTTGTATAAGCATCACAGACAGCTTTGCCAATAAGTTATTATTGTACCAATTTTACTGATGAGCCATCTTTGGATTAGAAGAGTGAAAGAATTTGCTGAAGGTTATACAGCTTATTGGGACCTGAGTTAGATTTTTTTTTTTTTTTTTAATTAGCTGCCATGACATTACAATGATCTTGGCAATTCATACATTTGAATCAATTGGGGTATAAATTCTCATTTTTCTGATTGTACAGATTGCAGAATCACACTGGTCATAGAGTCACCTATATATATATATACAGCATGAGTTAGATTTCTTGATTACTGCTTGTAGATTGTCCTTTCCTTCACTTCTGATGTCTGTGGCATAGACTTTATTTTATTTTTTATTTTGGTATTGGGGATTAAACCCAGGGTGCTTAACCACTTAGCCACATTTCCTTTTTATTTTTATTTTGAAACTTGGTCTTGCTAAGTTGTTTAGGGCCTCATTCAATTGCTGCAGCTGGCCTCAAACTTGAAATCCTCCTGCCTCAGTCTCCTGAGTTGTTGGAATTATTGGTGTGTGCCACTGTGCCCAGCTGTGTCACAGTTTTGAAACTTGGATAACTTTAAATTCAAAAAGCCTCCCAAATCAGTCTTTGTTTTTCTGTCCTAGAACATCCATTCCAATTACCTTAGGCTCCTGACTCTTGTTTTAAGATAATTTCTTCTCTTCTTGATCTCTAGTGCTTACATTTATGAGTTTGTGAAGGAGTGAGAGTGATTACTCAATGAGACTCCCAAATTCCCTGGTGGTAGGGACCATATTTCTTTTCTTTAACCTACTTGTCCCAGCAAAGTATACTATAGCTATTTAAATTTGCTCTATAAACATGTAGCATTGTTTTTTAAAAACATGGTTTAATTTTTTTCTCCTCCTTCAGAGCTCTCTTTTATTTAAAATAATATTAAATTGAGAGGGCCTTTTTTCTATTATATTATAGGCTACTATAGCCTAGAAACTTATCTTACCCACTTTGCAGATAGTAACAATTTGGTGTCATGTGCTGGTTTCCTTGTTCTGCTGTTAGGAGATCACTCTTTGGTTGCCTGAGAAACATAAGAAGTTTATTGGTGTAGTTTGCAGAAGTAACCCAAAGATATAGCAACATCCTTGGCCTAAGTTCTCCCTATTAGACAAAGCAATGCCCTTGGATACTCTATGGTATCTCTGCCTGAAATAGAGTATGTGGAAGAGATGGCAGAGGAAAGTTTAAAAAGGGGAAAAATGAAAACCGAATGCAAATACAAAGTATAGAAAGTGAGGATGGGTAAAAAGCGAAGAGTGAAATGCAGTATTGGTGGGAAAGAGGTGAACAAAACAATCTAGAGGTTCATCACCCCTGCTTCCCTCCTGTGTGCCAGCGCACAGCTGGTGGTTTGAGAAGCATAGACTGCTGTCTTCAAAGAAGAGCAGTGGAAATGATGACTCCTCTTGAGTTGATTTCGGGTAGCACACACTTCCATTTTTTTTTTTTTTTTTAAACCTCTATGTTCATTACCATGTAGAGTAAATTTCTTTGCTTCTGCTATCAGCTGGGGATGGGATTGGGTGCCAGTAACTTTAATATTAGCCTGAGTTCAGTTGATTTATCAGGGAAAATATGTTAAAAAATTACTGAAGGTTTTCTTGGTCAAGTTTGTATACATTCATTCAACAAATCATTATTGATTGTTTAATATGTCTTAGACACTAAGAATATACAAATGCATGAGATCTTGACCTTGGCCTCAAGATGTTTATTATCTAGATGGAGAGACAGGTAACACAGACATGTGTTAAGTATTAATATATGAGTTAGCAGAGAATGCAGTGGGAGAAGAGAGGAGGGGCCTTAATTTAGCTTTGGAAGCAATGGGAGAAGGCGGTCTAGATAAAAGTTGACATCCAGAGTCCCAAATGTGAGGGGGAGGGTAGGAAAGGGTATTATAGGCAGAGGGAACAAAAGTTCAAAATCAGAGAGAGCATAGTCCATTGAGAAGTTGTAGGCATTTATGACGGATGTTTGCATTATCCAATTTTTAGTGATTATTGTTCTCCTGCTTCAGTAGTGTGGATTATTCTAACTTTACTGTGCTTGCTATAGCAGAGAAAGTTGCAGACTTTATTTTGGAGTATTACTTCTGTTTTAAAATGAAGACACCAGAAATTGCACTTTTATCTAGGAATGCTAAGGAGAAAATGTAAATGAAGCCCAACCTTTGAATTAGCAAATGACTGGTGATCAATTGTACAGTAAAAGAAAGAAGGTACAGTGGCACATCTGTAATCCCAGTGGCTCCGGGAGACTGAGAGGAGGATTTCGAGTTCAAAGCCAGCCTCAGCAGATTAGTGAGGCATTTAGCAATTCATTGAGACCCTGTCTCTAAAGAAAAATATAGGGCTGGGGTTGTGGCTCAGCGGTAGAGCGCTCACCTGGCACGTATGAGACCCTGGGTTCGATCCTCAGCACCAAATAAAAAAAATAAGTGAAATAAAGGTGTTGTGTCCAATTACAACTAAAAGTAAAAAAAGGGCTGGGACATCAGCTCACCTGGGTTCAATCCCTGGTACCAAAAAAAAAAAAAAAAAGAAGAAGAAAGAAAGAAGGTACAGCAGAGTGTGATAGTGTAAGCCAGTAGTCCTAGCCAATTGTGTGGTTGAGGCAGGAAGATTGCTTGAGCCCAGAAGTTCAAAGCCAATTTGGGCAGCATAGCAATACCCCATCTCAAAAAAAGAAAAAGAAAGATGCAGTGTACAGTGTATCTTTGTCATCCAACTTTAGGGTCTGTTGTTTTTAAGGCTTTAAGGCTGTGTGTGTGTGTGTGTAAATTTATGGTCTTATTCAGTTGGTTAGGATATTTGAGTTAGGGAGGAGGGAAAGGGGGTCTAGAATAATTGTGCCTTTTTATGGCAGAACAAAAGAAATACCTTTCATGCTGGGAGGTGGCACACGCCTCTAATCCCAGCGGCTCTGGAGGCTGAGACAGGAGAATCACAAGTTCAAAGCCAGCCTCAGCAACTTAGTGAGACGCTTAGCAACTCAACGAGACTCTGTCTCTAAATAAAAAATGGCTGGGTATGTGGCTCAGTGGTTAAGCATCCCTGGGTTCAATCCCTGGTCCAAAAAAAAAAAAAAGAAAAAATATGTTTAAAAAGCTCTGATCCCACCAACTAAGCACAACAAGGCATAGTCAGGAACTTTGTTTTAGAAAGACAGTTACTTCAACTAGACAAAATGTTTGTTCAACATCATTCACTTTGTAAAGTCTGTTTTGTTCAGATTAAGAGCATTGATTTTTGTTTTTGTTTTTTTTCCCCACATGGTCCTAGCTCCATTAAACAGAAACCTTATGTGTATTCCTTGAATAATGCTGGGATTTTTACTGGATTAAACAACAACAACAAAAAAGGTATATGTGAAATAGGGAAGAATAAATTTAGAAATCAGCTTGTAGATTCAATGGTCATTTCTCAGTCATCTTTCTTACCTTTCTTATCAGAAGGAGTTGCTGCTCCTTCCTTGCACTATGGCTTCACTTAATTTCTATGGCATTCTCTTAGCTCTCTGTCTACCTCCTTGGCCCCTCTTCCTTAACATTTTTTTTCTTCCTAATGCCTTCTCATCTCTTCAGCCTCCAGTGACAGAGTACTCAAAGTAGTCCACCTGTTCTGCCTACACTTATTTCTTAGTGCTTTATTTTTTTTTCAAAACTTTAAATACCATATATCCAGGTGTGGTGGCGTACACCTATAATCCCAGTGGTTTAGAAGACTGAGGCAGGAGGATTATGAGTTCAGAGCAACTCAGTGAGACCTTGTCTGTAAATAAAATACAAAAAAGAGCTGGGAATATGGCTCAGTAGTTAAGCACCTCTGGATTCAATTCCTGGAAGCAAAAAAAAAAAGGTCTGGGGATGGTTCTCAGAGGTAGCATGCCCCTGGTTCAATCCCCAGTATCTAGGAGAAAAATTTATACACAAAACATTTTTATATTTAATATATAAAATATTTATGTGTATCGTACATATAATATACACTTTGTATATTATATAATATATATATTTGTTAACCTGATAATTCTTTTTTTATTTTTTTATTTTTTTGTGGAGCTGGGGGATGTATCACTGAGCTACTCACCCAGCCCAGGACATTGTTTTGATCATTGCTGTGTTCTCATATTCTAGAATAGTGCCTAGGATATTGGAGTTGAATGAATAAATTTATTTAATTTTCAAACAAAAATATATTTGGTATATAAAGGACCACATAACAAGGGAAATATCTGTGAATAAGGTATTATTCCCGCCCCTAAATTGCTTATAACCAAAAAAAAAAAAAAAAAGCTGTTTCTTTAGCATGATAAAGTGCTACATCATTCTGGAATTGGGGAGATTAAGGCTAGTATAAAGGGGTGTGCTTGTCATCAGAGATGAAGTCCTGCTTTGTCAGGCCTATCAATCATTTGTGCTCTTTCTGGGAGGGCAGAATTGATGATAGTTTAGTTCATTACTGGCTTTTAGGTTACAATTCCTGATTGGTCTTGCCTTGTTAGAGCAGTTATGACCTTTTGAAGAATTTCTTAAAAATCCCATTATTAGTCTTAATTCTTTTTGGGTGCCTTCTAGGTATCTTCTAATGTAGCCCCTGCCTCCCAGGATGAGTGAAAAGAGTTCACCAACTTTACCTTCCGCATATCTGAAAGTTCTTTCTGGTAATCCTGCCCATCTACTTACTAACTATCTGGCCTTAAAGCTCTCTGAACCTGTTTCTGTACCTGTCAAATGGAGATAATGACAAATGACACCAGTCTTTGTTATGAAAGTTAAATGATG